AGATCCAACTCTAAGCGGGAAGGTAGCTGCTAAATGAGATAAAAGAAGGGATTCATACCCGAAAGCAGAGAGAAAAGCGGGCATGAAAGCATAGTTTCCACCTTTCCGGGGTTTCCATTCAAAAGACTCTTCTTACCTCGACTTGTGAGATTTCTCCATTCCCGAACTTCTTTTCCAGAGAAGCTAACCAATCCCCAAGTGCTCTTTTCTGGAATTCGGTCTAGTTCGCATTAGATAAACCTTTCTAGTTATACCGAGGTGCAAGCCTAGTCCTATAAAGACTGTTGACTTATGACAACTATTAGGTGAGGATGGTTGAAGTGTAGCCAGTTAGGCGAAGACGGACTGATACGAGTGGAGGTCAACAAATAATGAAGTGGAACCCATCATAGTAGTGGGGTGTAGAGGTGGATGTTCCGAAGCCGCCTTCTGAAGAGGCTAGGTGTAAGTTGGTCTGTGCAAAGAGATAAGCCAATCCGCATCTAAGGCAGTCCGGATAGACAAAAGGTATTTCATTAGGAGTTTCCCAGGGAAAATCGGACAAGAATAGAATCAAGGTAGTTTGCTAAGCTAAGCAAGGAAGGAGCTTAGTGGGTAGTTCTACCTCAATTTGCTTTCGCAAAGGAGACCCTAGTCTGAAGCGTATAGCGAGTGAAGTCATAAGCGTACTGTTCGTTGTCACTTCCTCCTGCCGTAGCTACGCCGTAGATGGGAGATAGCGAGAGTGGTCAGTAACTTATTTGAATATGGTTCTTACTTGAAGCTAGTCGAAGTGAAAGGTAAGCTTCCCGATCGACCATTTTCCCCTTACTTATTTAGGACTGCAAACTAGTCTGACCGAAAAGCTCGTTCTGAACATCACTCATTTCCGAAAAAGAAAAAAAGAAGAGGAGATGGGGTAAGAGCGGGTTCGGCCGGGAACAAGTAAAACGGATACCGGGGTAGGAAAATAGATGCCCCAGTACAGAGATTGGTGGTAGAACGGAAAGGAAGAAGAAGACAGGTTTAGCTCAGTTTGAGTAGCACTTCCTGTGTGAGAAACTTGTGAGAAACTAACGTAAACTACACCAAAGAGGAGGGGCATAGGGAATCCCGTACCGATGCGACTAGACACCGCATGAAACTGGCAATCAAGGGATTTGGCTCATTCAATGCCTGCAAGAAAGATGATAAAAAGATCACCGCCTACTTGCTCATGTATCATGTCATTCTTACTGACTGTACCATCACATCAAGGTGACAGGATTCGAACCTATGGCCCTCTGTACCCAAAACAGATGCGCTGACCAGACTGCGCTACACCTCGTCTCACCACCCCGGAGCATATAGATCCACCCGATCGATGAAGACTCAAAGCGAACTCGTAAGCTACTGGTTCATTCGAGGCACAGGGATGCGAGAACCAATCCGAAGAATCAACTGCTTTTTTTATCAAACCCGCCTCCAGCAAGACAAGATAGGGGGACGCCAAAAAGCCGTATAGTGCAGGAGCGCTCCCCAATCAGATCTAACTGGCTGACTCTTGAACTTGAATTTCCAAATCCGGCTTGCTCCCGGTGTTGCGACCTTTGGACCCTTCGCCCGCTTAGAAGTGGATTCGAACCACTGACACAAGGATTTTCAGTCCTTTGCTCTAACCAGCTGAGCTACCTGAACCACTTTCCTAAAGTCTGTTTTCTTCATCGAATAGGGCCCTACCTTACCACAACAGACGTAAGGGAAAAGCCCTTGACTTTACTAAAAAAATAGTTAGGGCTTTTTTCGCTTGTTCGTCAAGCTTTCGAGCAGCTCTTTCAACTGCCGCCTAATCTCCCAACATGCTCAAGAACCGAGAGCCGCCCAGGGACTGGACAGCCGGAGGGAGCTTGCAACTAGAAAGAAGATAGGTCGGTCAAAGAAAAACAAGGCGCAACGGGCTCTCCGCTCCTAGTCACTAAGTAGTGCTATTCTGTCCTCCGGGGGACTCCACCAAGAGGTTCTTTCTCTCACGCCCGCCTTACTTTACTTCGGATGCCGGAGGAAATGGGATTCGAACCCATGATACAATCTTTCTTGTATGTCGATTTAGCAAACCAATGCCTTAAACCACTCAGCCATCCCTCCAAGTTCTTGATCGGAATTTGATGTGCGGTTGGTTGCCTTTGATGTAGATTTGATGTAGAAAGGCTATCTGATCCGATCAACGGCCGCCTAAGCCGTAGCGCGATAGCGCGCGTACTCTTCTTCTATGAGCGAGACTCTATCCAGATCTCCCACTCCTTCCTTGGGCGACGCCTTCTTTTCTATGAACAGCCCACCACTGAATGATGAACTTTCCAGTTTTCGCCTCCGACCCGAGAAAAGACACGGTCAAGCCAAGCCCTTACCCGCCTGAATGGAATGAATATCTCCTTCGTCAGGTCGAGAAGGGAGAAAGCCCGGAGAACCGGGCTTGCTTAGCAACCAAAGCTAGCTTATTAAGGCGAAGGAATTTCTCGTTGATTGCACGAGTTAGCCAGCA